GTACTTCCTCACAAGTAAAATGTGTATTCAAGAGGGCTAAGTCTTGCGGCGAAATTTTTGGGATCTTAATATTATCGAGGTATTTTTGAATGTCTGTCTGATGAGGGGTAGACTTAAGATTGTACAATTGCTCATGGAATTGGTTGAATTTTTCACCAATTTGAAATGGGGTGGTATAAATATTTTGGCCGTCTATTAGTTTTTCTACCCTGTTTCTTGCTTGATGGATATGTAGTCTTTTTGTCAGATTTTTAGAAGCTCTGTTTCCCATATGATAATGGTTTAATTTTAATTTGTTTATATTTATTTTTATTCTCTGTTCTTCTTTAAGGTTGATTTTATTTTGTGTTTCTTTTAATAAAGCTCTTAGTTCCGTAGAAAGTTGTTTTTTATTTAGGTTAGAGAGCCTATAAAATCCCCCCTAGCCACTCTTTATTTCCTTTTCCCCAGCCCCTCTGTGTATCTTTTTTGTGCTTTCGCTCAGTCTGTCTTTCATCCCCACAGTCATTTGTGTGTCTCTTTTTCCTCACCAGCTATGTCTCTTTGCCCAAGCGCTTTTGTGTATCTATTTGTACCAACACATTTTGTATATCTTTCTTCCCTTCCCATCTGTGTGTGTCTCTTTTTGTCCCTAGTCCCTGACTGTGTCTCTTTCTCACAGCCCCTTTGTGTGTCACTTTTCACTTACCCAGCCCCTCTATGGCATTCTTCCCCTAAACACTTTGTCTATTTCTACCCCCTCTCCCTCACTCTGTATGTCCATTTTTCCCATTCTATATCTGCCTTTTGTGTGTCTCTTTATCTCCCCCCTTTACTGTTGCTTTGTGGTCTCTTCCACTCTCCCTGTCCTTTTGTGTTCTCCCCACACCTTTACATCTGTGCCTGTACCTCCTTCCTTGTAGCTTGGCTGCATGGGCCACAGTAGAGGATATTCTGTATCCTCTACCTGGTCTGACAGGAAACTGTTGGTTGCCCCCAGTTAGCACTTCCAGTCAGACTGGGTAGAGGATACAGAAGATCCTCTACCGCGATATGAGCGGCCACGGCTACATGCTGTGACTGGCAGAAGGGGAACACTGTGCTGTGCTCTCCTCCTGCTAGTCACTTAGATTGTGTGTGTGTGTGTGTGTGTCCACCCCTTCAGGCTGGTGCACACTGTGCCACCTTATGGTTGTGCCAGTACTGGGTAAAAAAAACCCTGCTCAAATGAGCTTACAATATATGAGGTTTTTAGGAAGGCAAAAAACAGTCTGGAGAATCCAGTCTCCTTGAAAGTAGCACAAATGGCCAGGCATCCATGCTCATCATAAGAGAATATACGATAACTTTTACGGCTTAATAAAGGCTTATAGTGAGCTGGAAAATTGCTTGTGTAGTGTTTGTGTAGTATAAGTGCAAGCCTGAAAGTGAATAGGCACTTTGAAGGAGGATCTTTTTAATAAATTACAGTGTCAGGTATAGACAAAACATTCATACCTGTAGTACTAGTTAAGTGCATAAATGAGTTAATATATTATGCACTAGAAATTAATACTAAATGTTTTCTTTTACAGATTAAAATGTTTTTGTTTTTTTACATCAAATATTGATAGCCAGTACATTACTTATTATATTCAATTACAAAGACGTACACAAGGTTACACCTTGATATTTGATCTTAAAATAATATTTAATAGGCTTCCTGTATATGCTGCATGTCTGGTTTGTCAACAGGGAACCCTCAGAGAATATACATTTCAGATACAAAAAAAATAATAAATAACAGAAATGAGGTGGCAGAATACTGGGGGCTATGTACCTTTTAAAATATTTATTTGTTCATATGCTGATACATAATTTACTGCTGAGGTAGAGGTTGAAAGCATCATTGACAAGAGTGATTAAGAGACACTATTCTCAATTTGTATTCAGCATTGAAGATATGTAAATATAGTTAAGTGTACCATGCACCCTCTAGTGGCAGATTAAGTTAACACACTGAAAAAAAGGAAGCTCATTCTTCAACACCCAAACTAATTTCTCTTGGGCCTCTACCTAAATTGCTATAAACCAGGCATCAATGAGTAGAAGAATAGTTTAGCTGTGTTCAAAGACAAATAGAATACACATTCATGCTGTATTCAACAGGGAGTTTAGTAGGTAAATTAATTGTCCTAAAAAGCTTAGAGAGAGGCATAGAAACCAAAACACTCATTTGAAGAAGTGTACCAAAATGAAGTTAAATAATTACATGCTCATTAGTATTACACAGACGACTCACAATGAGAAATGAGCAAATATTCCTTTTTAACGCAGCAAAAGCTGTTTGTTTTCACATAATTAAAATTCTGGACTATTAAGTCTGGTGTTATTAAACATTAAAGAGGTCTATGCAACATGCATTTTAGGCAGATACCTATATCACTTATTCCCTAACCCCCACCAAATATATAAAATTACCAACAAAGTCTGTATACTAGATGATCCTGAGACAGCTTAAAATATTAACCATACTCAATCACACTAATTCTAAATTCAATTTGCTAACTAACTATATAAAAAAAAGAAATTATGTAAATAAAAATGATATACAATCTAATAAAAGATATAATAAATTAATAATTTAATTAACATGCAGGTATCGGTATGTAGAGCAGAAAGAAAACACAAAACACAAGTAGGAACTTTTACAAGGCTTTCCAATGTGAGAAATGTTGAAAATTCAAAGTGAATTCAAAATGCATTACAAATATATGGCCAAAATAGCCAAAAACGTAGCGGGCTTGACAATTCTTCCCCATTCACTTATGTTGGTCATAAATTTGAAGCTCACTTTGCATATTCTTTCCAGATGTTTTTTATTGTATAATAACAATACAAATAACAATTGTACATTTTTGTCAACATTTCTAACAGTCAATAATTTTAAAACATTATGGTATATAATCAGTGACATAATAGCAAGGATCTTTGTTATGGTTACCTTATCAATACTATGAGTAACAACACAAAGATCATAAATGAATAAAAACATAAAAAATAAAAACTGGGGGAAAATGAACAAATTGTGCTTCCATGGTATGATCTGAAGAATTAAAATAGAGAAAGGAAGAAAAAAAACTGTTAAATATTTACAGCATATATATTTATATAAATATTGTACATTGAATGACAAATAAGGTAAATAAGAGTCAAACTTAAGTGATAAAACAGTTTTTTGGTCAGGTGGAAGGATCAGCAAACTTGTATTTACTCCTCATTGCCTTCTCCCACTCAGACCAGTAATGTCTGAGGTGTACATTGGTAGCCAATGGTACCCGGAGAGTAAGCTCGCAACTTTTACTTTCAAATCAAAACAGAAAGACATCTTTGACAGAGGGAATTGTAACAGATTTCCAATATCTAGGAATAATTGATGTAGCCGAGATTAGGAGGTGGCCTTACATTATTCATTTGTGTTTTGGCAAATCTTCAGGGAGACGTTTAAGTAAGCATAATCCAGGAGTTAAATCAACAGGGAACTCAGTGAAAGACATGATAATTTCTAGGATTTTTTGCCAATAGTTGGATAGTTTACATGACCAAAAAATTTGGTATAAAGTACCTGTCTGTCCACAACCTCTCCAAAATAAATTAGATGTGGAGAGGTGTAGTTGAACATCTTTAATGGGGAGAAATACCAGCGATAAATTGATTTTAAATGAGATTCTAAGTGGGAAATGTAATGTTTAATGCCTTTCAATGCAAAGAATAATATGATTCATGCCATATTATTAATATGATTCATGCCATTCCTCCACCGTGAATACCTCACCTAGATCACTCTCCCACTTTGTGATGTATGGCAATTTCATGCCTACTTTTCCTGCAAAAAAAGGCATAACACATGTAAATGGTTAATTTCTGACCAAGGTTTGAAATATAAACCGTTTCTAAATTTGACATTTCCAATTTTCTAACATTGATATCCTGGTCGGAATTCCCAAAATGTTCGCTAATTTTTTGAACAAAAATTTGCATGTAGAGGTGTGTCAAAAACACTGGATTTTCTTTTGTAGCTGTTCAAATGATAAAAAATTAGAAGACAAGAAAAAATCATTAAAGCAATGAATCGAATGAAAGGACAATATTCTACTTCTAATTCAGTCATAACACGTTTTAATACTGAGGAGTGGCTCTAGACCAGACAGCAGAAGGGTGAATTTTTCAATATAATATTTTCCAAGCCTTAATTGTGGTCTTGGTCATAAGAAACATGTCCGCCAAACTTGTGTGCTGAGATTGGAGCAACCATAAAATATTTGATTGAATAAGGAGAGAGGTTTCTAGCCTCCATCTCAAGCCAAAGGGGACAGTCATATTTTAGATTGAATTTCAGCGCCATTGCTGCATTAGTTGCATAATAATAATGAATAAAATCTGACAAACCCACACCCTCGCTAACCCTGAGCTTTTGAAGTATGGATAATTTAAGACTACATGGTTTTCTATTCCAGATACGTTTCAAGAGAGCAGAATGTACGTTTAAAAAAAAAAAGCTAAAGGTATCGAAAGGGGGAAGGCTCTAAGAAAAGATAAAATTTTGGGAAGGAGAGTCATTTTCCCCGAATTAACCCTACCTAACTGTCGGGAACACAGTTTAGTGGACGGAGCCCAAAATGCAGAAAGATGCAGACAAAGAGAATAGTCGGGGAAGCCAAAGGTCAGGACAGGCGGCACAGGTTCAGATGCGATGATTCAGGCAAGGGTCAAAATCAGGAACAGGATCAGGATCAATATACAACAGGAGAGTCTCGGAAGATCTTTACACAATCAGGAGCACAACTGAGCGAAGAGTGAAGGGTGTGTGTGACTTAAATAGGGAAAGTGGGTGGTCTTGTTAATTGCGGTTCCACCCTGGTCTCCACCTCCTGTACCTCTAAAAAAAGGCAAAAAAAGTTTTACTTGCTGTGTGGCAGCATGTTGAAGCAGCGGTGTCCTCATAAACAGATTTCTTCACTTACTATGTTCGGGAGCCGGCGTCAGTATGCAGTATAGGTGAGTAGCGTTCGCATGAACATGAGTGTGAGTTGGCGTTCGTACGTGTGGAGTTCTTCCTTCTGCATCGGGTAAGTGGCGTTCATGTGAACAAAGGTGCCGTTCGCATGAACGTGAGTGTCGGCGTGGGTGATTGAACCAACCGTGGTGGCTGGCGTATTGCGCTCCAACACGGTGTCCTCGTGGAGTGAGAGATGCAGCGTGGAAGTCCGAGGTAGGTGAGTGTGGGAGCGAGGTTCTGATACTAACCATGACATTTCCAGACTACACCATATCTCAAGATCATTCCTAAACCAGACCTTACCCAGATTATAAGAATGCACCTTGAGCAGGTTCTTGCATACGTTAATGCCCAGATAAAAATATATAAGAATCCTTGCAATCGAAGTCAAACTAATCTTTTAACCCCTTAAGGACCAAACTACTAGAATAAAAGGGAATCATGACATGTCACACATGTCATGTGTTCTTAAGGGGTTAAAGTGTCTAAATCATACCAAGGTATGTAGAAAGTGAGAGCTTGGGTTTTGGCTGTATTCAATTTATAGAATTAAATTTAGCCGAACTCCTGCAAAATTGACATCAACCGAGTAAGCAAAGTCATTTGGTTTCTAAGCGATAACATGATGTCATCTGCAAAAAGGCCTAGTTTATGTTCCTTACCCCCTACTGCAATACCTTTTGATATCTGCGCTGCAGTGTATCATCTTAGTCACGGGCTCCATTGCCAGAACAAACAGGAGTGGAGACAATGTGCACCCCTGTCTGGTTCCATTGGACAAAGAAAAGTTTTCCGATACAAAGCCAGTCGCAGATACTTTGGCAGTTGGTTGACAGTATAGTGCAAACACGGCCCTGATGAAGGGATCTGGGATGCAAAAACGCGATAGAACTTCCCTCAGGTAATCTCAATGGATCCTACGCCTACTCCACATCCAAAAAGAGGAGCAAAGAAGGCATGCAAGTAAATTTAAAAAAAAAGATCAATTTGATGAAATGCCTGGTGCCATCTGGAGCCTGATGGTTCATAACTAAACCCACAGAGTCTTTGCCAATTAGGAAAGGAAAAAGTCGATTAAGTTTATTAGCTAAAAATTTTGAATAAATCTTTGTGTCATTATTGATTAATGAAATGGGATGAAAATATGCACTTTTTGGTTATTCTAATATTAAATAGTGCCCAATATTTCTTATTGCAGTCATAATGATTAAAAGTGATGGAATTAATAGATGTCCCAGAGGACATATGCATACTATCTGTCTGTGTTTCTAACATTAAACACCATTGTTAAAGGAACACTATATGGTAAGAACACAAACGTGTATTCCTGACCCTATGGCATTAAACAAACTATTTAGAAGGCTGCCCCTCCTTGCCCCCCTTAGCTCTAGTAAAAACTCACTTTAGTTTCAGAGCCGAGTGTGTCCGCCAGGCACTGGCTCCGCTCCTGATCAGCCTCCTTGGCTGACATCATCAAAATTTATGATCTTTGCGAATAACAATGCTTTCCCAGGAAAGCATTGCATTTGCTGAGATTGTTAATTCTGGTTATCTCAGTCGAGGAGACAGGGCGGGGGCAGGGCCAAACGCCTCCCTGGCCAATCAGCATCTCCTCATTGAGATGCATTGAATCAATATATAGAAAGTTCAGCACCTCCATGCAGAGCAGGGACAGGCTATAGAGACCACAACAACTACAATAAGCTGTAGTTGTTCTGGAGACTATAGTGTTGCATTAAGTCATTGATAAGTGGAGTCAAATAGATGGTCTTCTTGTCTTTACTAGAAGGGAAATAGGTAGAGAGCAAATCTACACATTAAATCACATTTTCATAACAAAGTAAAGGAACACAAAAAGCACCATAACCACTACAGATCACTAAAATGGCTAGGTACAAGTGTTGTTTATGTGTGGTTTAACTTCTTATCTGTGGTCCACGGGCCACAGTCCACCAATGAGGAAAACTGTTAGTTCTCCTGAGCTAAGCACTGCATATGAGAGCATCAGTTGAACACTAGTTCATCCTGCTTAGAAACTTCATCCAGCTATTGCGAGATGAAAATAAAGCTGGGGAGTGTTGCTCAGCAGATCCCATGTAAGACAAAAGGCCCTTTAGAAACAGTCTGACTCCTTACAATGGGGAATAGTGTGCCAGGGGCACTCCTGCCACCACAACTACTATAGCAAACTGTAATGGTTATGTTGCTTGGCGTGTTCCTTTAAATTCAAGCTCAAGAAATGTAATTGTGTTTGGAATGGGGTAAATTTTGTCATTACAAAATTGAGGATTTAAAGCTAAATTACTTTACTTAAGTAAAGTAAATTACTTCTGTTTTGCTGAATCTTTACACTAAGTTGTGAAAAAGGCTCAAACGTGGACCTTTCACTTGTGTTAAAATAAAAGCACTGGTTTCCAAGAAAATCCCCTGCCCATTAAACTTACATTAAGTTTTATCAGCAAATTTAAATGTATTGTGAACTCACACAAAGCAATATTTTGACCCAATAGTAGGGTTTTTCTAAGGCCTGCTAAAGACGTTATTATTGGGGCAAAATGTTGTTGTGTGTGAAGTCATAATCAAAGATATTTAAAATTACATAAAGGAGTGATATTTAGTATTTAGTAGATACAAAATAGACCAAAACTCACTGCAGCTTTCAAGAGGGTGTCCTTGGGCCTCTGGTCCAGTCCAATAACCAGCAAAAGATCTGTTTGTTCGTTTTTTATAAAAGAGTGCCAGACCATCCTTCATTTTTTGTTTTTGACTGTTTTTTTTTTTGTTTTTTTTTTGTTTTTTTTAAAGGACCGGGGTCTATTTTTACCCTTCAGAAAAAAAAAAATCATTGCAGTGCTTTTTGTGGGCTGGTTCTTACTTTCTATTTCATCCACTGACCTTTGATTTTTCTCATTTAATGCACTATACAATATGATCCCTACATTTATTATCTTGCTTTTAGTACCTCTGTATCTCTCTCAGAGAATCCAATTAGTTATTTATTTATTGAATCAAATGTTCACAGAAGAACAATCTAGCACTTCAAGTATTTTTTTAAAAGTAGGTTACATCATGCATTAAACAGTTGAACACATTGAGAAAGTAAATGGACCCTCAATGTGAGATAAACATCCCACCATGAATTCTCCAAGGCCATGATTTAGAATAGAAAAAACAAAACAAATATTTGAGCTTTTTTCTTAACATTATATTCCAGTTCACAATATTTTAATATTTACAATACAACAATCTAGGAAAAGTAAAATAAATTACTAAGTATTTTGATAGTCACATTAAACAGGATGCATTCTGGAGGGCTATTTAAAATCGGACCTTTAAAAACTGCAGTTGTTTTTATATCTAAGTGATTTCCTGTTATTGCCCCATAACATGGTTTGCAAGAAGGGACTTGTGATACATCTTCTGAATGCTCTTGGCATTAATCGCATATAGCATCAAGTAAAATTGAGCCAGCTTTGGGAAAGAGGATGGGCTATCTCACCAGCTCTGAATCACAGAAGTTGGCAAATAACACATATGTTCATGTTATATTTCCAGAGTCTAGAAATCTGGTATGTTTAATGAGCCATTGATTTACATCTGAGAAATCACTTAACAGGGTATGTTTTGTGCTAATTATTCAACAGTTTATTGTAAATGTGTGGTTGAGTTCACAGACTCCCATTCAATTATTACCTGCACCTTAGTGGATGGAACAGGTTTTGTGCAACAGACAAGTTGCTGCATAAGTCCCTTAAACAGTTATATAAAGCTGCCCTTTAATATGAGGTGTTTTATTAAAGGTCAGATGAGAAATAAATTCTGAAAATAAAAAGTCAGTGCATACTTTATGAGTGTTTTTAAAGGGGCTTTTGTGTAGCTTACATAGATACTTTTTTCATTTTGAAAGTACATGGATCACTGAGATCATCGTATGAGCAACATTGTTTTATATTATTAATAGAAAAGCAGTCACATATGTATCTCAATAAAGGCCCTTTATTGTGACAATGTAAAAAGCCCTTTTGTTGGTCAATAACAAAAACTATTGATAAATGCACAAGGAATAGCCAAGAGTTTTAATTGTAGCTCTATTAAGGCTTATATCTCAAATAACTTATAGATATATATACAATACAGTGGCGTACCTACCACAGTTGCAAGAGTTGCCCCTCACTCCAGGGGGCCCGGCTGCAGCCGCCACCCCTGCAACTGTGGGCCGCCTGGATACCTTATGGGCCAGTGCACATCCACACAGGCCGGGGTCCAAGGTTTCTAGATGTCTGGCAGGAAGGAAGAGCTATGCTGTGCTGCTCCCCTCCTGCCTGTGTGTAGCGTGGCTGAGCCTTCTGACAGGAAGTGCTAACTGTGATTGCACTTCCTGTGATACCAGGAACTGCGGCAAGCCAGGTACAGGATGGGAGGGTAAAGTGAGAGTATGGTACTCAGGGAGGGGAGAGGTGGGAGAGGGAGGGTAGGATAAACAGGGAGGGGGCAGAGAGGGTATGGAATACATGGTTTAGAGCGGGGAGAGAGGGAGGAATGGAATACAGAGAGTAAAGGGGGATGAGAGGGAGGGTATGGGACACATGGAGGGGAGGGAGAGAGATGGAGGAATAGGACACATGGAGGGGAGAGGGTGGAGGGAGAGAGAGAGGGTATGGTACAAGTGGAAGGGAGGGGGAGAGAGTTAAGAATGGGACACATGGAGGTGAGGGGAGAGAGAGTGAGTAATAGGACACAGGGAGGGGGAGAGGGAAAAATGGGACACATGAAGAGGCTGGGATGGAGGAGAGTATGGGAAACATGGAGGGGGAGGGGGAAGGGAATGGGACACCTGGAGGGGCTGGGGTAGGAGTTTATGGAACACATGGAGGGGCTGAGGGGGGAGAGGAAATAGGACACATGAATGGACTGTGAGGCAGAGGGAATGAGACACATGGAAGGGCTTTGTGGTCAAGGGAATGAGACACATGGGTGGGGGCCTGGGCACGGGAATAAGACATCGGGGCAATTTAGGCAATATGGGGGGGGGGAGTGAATGAGACACCTAGGGGGAATGAGACACATGGGAGGGGGGGCCAGGTCAATTTTCACACCAGGGCCCGGTGGATGCTAGTTAGGCCACTGATACAATATATTTGTTAGAATACCTACCTAGGACATTGAGTTAATCTAGCCACAATACCAGGGTCTAGGTGTAAGGTAGTCTATACTGAGACGAGTGGCTCAGAATCGGATTCCAACAGAGAAGGAACC